ATAAATGCCCAATTTTTGATAAAAAACGGCGGAAACTTATTTATACTCCTAATACATTTTTACAATAAATTAGATTCGAAACAGAGGAAATTGATTTGAATACAATTCCGTTCAGACAATGTTATGTTTTCGACTTCCGGTTCAGTAATTTTACCGAATACAATAATACATGATCGCTCCGATTATATTTGGTCAAGGATCACGAAATAAAAACGTTTTCATCCAGTTATTAATCAGAATGAAATCACATACTTTCCTTATCTCAACATTTGTTAGCGAAAAGTTTGCAGTTTCGACAGGGGTAATAGCCGGATTTTATCAGTGCGAATAAAATGCTGATTAATGATACTTAAAATAGTTATTCTCGGTACGGAAACGGTGGATCGTACGATGGTGACTGGCTGATGGACAAGATGCACGGTGTCGGTTTAAGAATTTATCCGAGCGGCTCTCGTTACATTGGAGATTGGAAGAATGGCGTACGCGATGGTACCGGGACCATGGTGTGGCCTGAAGGTAGCATTTATCGCGGCGAATGGAAATGTGGAGCGATGAATGGGTCAGTTCTCGAATAAAACAAAGTCCCTCGAAATTCGCGACTCCGACTCTCTCACATGTAATCGATCTCCGATCTGTTTCCATACTTAAATCATACATGGCATTGAGAAATTAGATGAGAGATCTATAATTACAACTATAAAAATATCAAATATCTATAATTACAACTATAAAAATCGTAATATATTTAATACAGTTACGGCAAACACGTGTGGAATGGATTTTTCAATAAAACCTTTACGTGGCCGCAAGAGGCTTCTTATAAGGGTTACTGGCAACACGGAAAGCGCCATGGCAGAGGCAACTTTTTACGTTTCACTCTAAAAACAAATTATTGCGTTTATCAATGCGTTTACTATAGTATCTCGATTGCATTCATTATTATAGGTGAAATTAAATTAAATGCTGTCGGTGGAGCAAAATATTGTGGCTATTGGAAGAATAATGAAAAAGATGGTTACGGAGTTATAATTGGTACTTTTCATTGATCATTCTTTTTCCATTAATTTAGTAATCATAATGAAACTTAATCAGCACGTATAGACAAAAACCAAATTTTACTTTTCTCTCGCGCTTTTCGTGTATCTGTAATGTTCGTATAAAATCGTAAATTCAGTTCTATTTTTATCAGGAAGCAATGGGGAGAAGTTTGAATCCGGTGCGCTGTTTTTAAACAATATTTTATCTGTAAGCGACAATCCAGAGAATGAGACGAAAAGTGAGACTAAAAGTGAGACGAAAAGCGAACAAGGAAGCGAACATTCGCCTAAAGAGACTAAATTAGAGTAAGTTTAAACTAACACATTAATTCTGTATAAATCTAAGTATAATAGACATTGACAGTTTTAGCAATGAGTAATAAAATAATATAATTTAACATGAACTATTATCGTTCGACATTTAAGAATGTATCGGTTATATAATCAATCCCAAAAGTTGATGTGCCTTTGAAAAACGCATTTCCTATGATTAAAAATAGTGCACTTTCCATCTAACTTCGATATTGAATGAGTTACGTATGATTATTTGGCATTTTATTGATGTTGACAAAATCCGACCATCCCAGCGTCGAAACAGCGAACTTTTGGCAAAAAATTTCATTTTTCCTTAATTACTCCTAAACCGTTGAATCTACGGGAAAATTGCATAGGACCTTTCTTGTAG